ATGGTCACACCGCAATCCCTTCTCCTCCATTCTCCTCTCGGGATCTTGGGCACGCACGCACACGCGCCCGGCCTGAGTTTTAAGCCACCGGGTCCGGGACACGAACCACGGTCGACTACATTGGAGTCCAGCGACATAGCCATTACGCTAACTGCTGGTTCCCTATCTCTGGTCAAATTAAAATAAATGAATGAATAAATAAATAAAGGTAAATAATTCTTTAAAAAAAAAAAAAGAAAAAGATCAAGTTCCATTAAAAAATAAATAAATTTTTTTGGAAAGGTTTTTGCTATAGGGTGCGTGTGCTCACCAGAAAGACAGAAAACAAGAAATCACCCCCCCACAGGGGAGATGGCCACATGACAATCCCTTCTCCTTCACTGTCCTCTCGGGATCTTGGACACACATGCGCACATGCCCAGCATGAATTTCAAGCCACCGGGTCCAGGACTTGAACCGTGGCTGACTACATGGGAGTCCAGTGACAGTTATTACATCAACTGCTGGTCCTAAATAAAATCAATTTTAAAAGAAATAAATAAAACCGGGACCAGCACATGGCATACTGGTTACATTGCTCAACTGCCACAGTTGACCACAGTTTAAGTCCTGGACTCGGCAGCTTAAATTCAGGCCGGGCGCACATGCATGCCCAAGATCCTGAGAGAAGAATATGGAAGAAGAGACTGCAGTACGGCCATCCCCCACCCCAGTGGTGAGAGATGACTTCTCACTGTCTGTCTCTGTCTTACCAGTGAGTCTATGCGCCCCATAGCAAAAATCTCTCTTAAAATAATATATAAAATAAAATTTAAGTCTATAATTTAAAAAAAAATCTAATTTTTCAAAGACAGCACAAATCTAAGGGTAAGATGGACAGAATGGAGCTGTGGAAGGGCTTAACATGAAGATGAGGAGGCAAGACTCAGCCACAGTGATGCGGGTGGTGGAGGGCTGCCACATGAGGCCAGAGCTACATGGAAGGCCCAGGATTCCAATCCTGAGTTGAACTAAACATGCCAGGTACATCCAGGAATCCTGACTGGCTGGAAGGTGGGGGGAGGGAGATCATGAGATGGTGAGACCCTGTGGGGTGCCCTCTCATGTGAAAGAACATAGCTAACTTTTTCTTTTGCTGGTGCATGTGCTCATCAGAGACAGCAAAACAGAGAGAGGAAGAAGAGAAACCAATCCCCATAAGGAAGGGTCACACCACAATCCCTTCTCCTCCATCTCTTCCTCCTTTCAGGATTTTGGGCATGCGTGTACATGCCAAAGGCATGTTTCTCCAGTTGTAAGGTGCAAACTCAACTGCATGGTCAGCCATGTGGAAATGTGGAATCCAACTGCCTCAACCACCAGACCATGGAGTTAGCCTAATAGATACGCTTTTAAAGTTTACATTAATTTAAATAATTGTACATTACACACACACACACACACACACACACACACACACAGATATAAAATGTATGTATGTTAGGAGGCAAGAATTTCTACCCTGGTACTGCTAGTAATTAGTGATAGATCTCCAACTCTCTGAATCCTCATCTATAAAGTATGGACATTTCACAGATGATCTCAACATCCTTCTTGTTCTAAAATCATATGGCTCTATTAACATACCTAGAAGTCAAAGGCCAAGCTCAGCTGCTATGGATCATACTGAAAGCACTGCTGGTTGGAGGCTGAGGCCACATGAGGTATCTGGGTTCAGTTACCAGCCAAACTCGCTGTACACACACACACACACACACACACACACACACACAGATATAAAATGTATGTATGTTAGGAGGCAAGAATTTCTACCCTGGTACTGCTAGTAATTAGTGATAGATCTCCAACTCTCTGAATCCTCATCTATAAAGTATGGACATTTCACAGATGATCTCAACATCCTTCTTGTTCTAAAATCATATGGCTCTATTAACATACCTAGAAGTCAAAGGCCAAGCTCAGCTGCTATGGATCATACTGAAAGCACTGCTGGTTGGAGGCTGAGGCCACATGAGGTATCTGGGTTCAGTTACCAGCCAAACCTAAACATCAAGCTGGAAGGCTGGATCCAACCTTGGCAAGAGCCTATCAAAAATTGGTGTCTCTGGGCCAGCAGGTGGCGTGGAGGTTAAGGTGCTGGCCTCCCAAGTGGCCGAGCACGGTTCAAGTCCTGAACCTGGTGGCTTGCTTTCTTTCTCTCTCTCTCTCTCTCTATCCAAATTAATATTATAATAATAAATAAAAGTAAATAAACAATTACTTTTAAAAAATAGTGTCTCTCAAAAATAACTTCAAAAAAGGGTCAAAGACTAAATGTTAAAAGACCAATTTCTCTTAACAAGTTCTTGACTGAATTATGTGAAATTATTCCTGGAAGTATACAATATAAATTGGATTAGTTAGCACTATCCAGGTTGTCACGCATGAATACTCTTCCTAAGTTCTATGGGACACCAGTGCACTCTCCTTCCAAAAGACAAATTACTTCTGTGACCCATTCATAGCACCAATTTAGTTTACAGCACAATCCTATCTACTTTTGCTATTTTAATGAGAAACTGTATTAGAGGGGCCAGCAGATGGTATAGTGGTTAAGGGCACTGGACTCCACATGGCCGACCCCAGTTTGAGTCCTAGACCTGGTGGCTTGCTTTCTCACTTTCTCTCTCTCTCTCTTACACTCTCACTCTGTTCCTCTCCGGTCAAATTAAAATAAATAGTTAAATAAAAATAATTCTTTAAAAAAATTAAAATGACTTTTTTTTTTGCTGTGGGAAAGACTGTTTTTACAAATAAGGGTGTTATTTAGTTTAAATCAAAGATCATTTACTAAAATAGTTTAAGACAACCACAAGGGCTTAGAGAAAGCTCTTCCCTCTGCTTCCTCTTTCTCCTGTCTGCTTTAGTGTCTGCTCTGAACACAGAAGTCAGTATTCTTGAGAAAGAATTAGACTATAACCTCCCTGAAAAGAACATATTAACTTACATTTTTAGCTTTCAGGGGGCTTCAAATGTTCTTTTTGGGTTAGAGATGACAGAGGAAAGATGAGATTTCACCCACCTCAGTGGCCATGCAATAATTCCCCCTACTCCAGTCTCCTCAGGATTTTGGGCATGCACACACACATGCCCAGGGTAATTTTCAAGCCCCCAAGTCCAGGACCTGAACCATGCAGTTGGTCATATGAAGTCCAGTGCTTTAAATCTCCAGACTACCTGGTTGCCTCAAAACATTTTTTTTAAGAATTATTTTATTTGACTTTATTAAAGCAAGCCACCAGGTCTGGTACTCAAACCATGGTTGGCCATGTAGAAGTCCAGAGCCCTTAACAAACAATGCCCCCAAAACATACTTTTAAAGAAGCCTAATTTAGCTGAGAAAACCCAATATTTCATTGGTCCTTTGGAGAGTAATATCTTACCTCAGACGCTTCCTGTCCCTTGACCGAGATCTTCTTTTATCTCTACTACGAGATCTCTCTCTTCTTCTATCTCTATCTCTGCTTCTTGACCGTCTGTCATCTCCACGTTTGCTTCTCTTGTCTGAAGGTGAACGACTTCTGGATCGACTTCCAGAGCGCCCTCGTGATGCAGATCGCTTCCGATAGTGGCTAGGGTATATTAAGCAAACATAGCTTCTATTATATTTTATTCATTTTATGACAGCGAAAAACACAGATCAAGTTCAGGCCCCAGGCAGCTTACATTCTGGGGAAGGCAGAGATGACACACTAGTAAAGACACAAATGAACAGAGCAAGTAGTGCCATGGAGAACAGCATATGACAGTAAAGAAGAAACAGAATGGGAAGTAGATTAACTGTATCAGGTGACTGCGGAAGTCCTCACTAACAAAGTATCATTTATTAGAGGTCTGAAGGAAATAAACTAGGCCACAGACATGCGCGAGAGGAACTTTCCAGGCAAAAGACACAAATGCAAAGTCCCTGAGAAGTAAGCTTGACTAGAATGGAAGCCGGGGTTGACTGGTTGACAGAGCAATGAGACAAAGTCAGAGAAACGTCAGGGCAGACGAGCGTGGAGGGCCTACAGGCCATTATAAGAACTCTTGTCTTTGAGTATGACGAAAAGCTGCTGGACAATTTTAAGCAGAGGAGACCCAAAACCTTCCTAATGTTTGTAAAGTGTTACTCTGGCTGCTCAGCAAAGAACAAATAAAGCGAATAAAGGGCAAGAAGAGTAAACAAGCAGAATGATACACCAATCATCCAGGTAAGAGATTCTGATGGCTTAGAGCAGAATGGCAGTTAAGGCAGCTGAACTTCACATGGCTGAATGCATGGTTCGAGTCTCATACCCACAGCTTAAAAACATGTCAGGCATGTGAATGTGTGTCCAAAAATCCTGACAAGAGAATGGAGGAAAAGGTATTGTAGTGTGGCTATTCTCCTGGGGGGTGGTGGTGATTTTTTTGTTTTGCTTTGTTTTATAGAGATTTCTGCTATAGGATACATGCACTCACTGGAGAAAGAAGAGACCAGAAGACAGAAAGCAAGAAGTCAACTCCCAGGGAGGATGGCCTATGCCATAATCCCTTCTCCTCCATTCTCCTCTCGGGATCTTGAGCACACATGCACATTCCCAGTGTGTTTCAAGCCCTTAGGTCCAGAACTCAAACCAGTCAGCCATGTGGGAGTCCAATGATGTGGCCCTTACGCCATCTGCTGCCCCCACACATGAGATTTTCTCACTTTCTCTCTTTCTCTGCCTCTCTCCTCAAGCACAAGCACCTTATACTAAACTTTAAAAAAAAAAAAAAAAAGAAAAAAAATACTTATATTTCGTGGGGCCAGCAGATGGTGTGGTGGTTAAGAACACTGGACTCCCACATGGGCAATCGCAGTTCGAGTCCCAGACCTGGTGGCTAGCTTTCTCACCTTCTCTGTCTCTGTCTCTCTGTCTCTCTCACTCTCTCACTCTGATCAAATAAACAAAAATAAAGTTAAATTAAATAATTCTAAAAAAATACTTATCTTTCTCTTGGGGCCAGCAGTTGGCATAATGGCTATGTCACTGGACTCCCATGTACTCAACCGCGGTTCAAGTCCCGGACCCAGTGGCTTAAACTCACACTGGGCGCATGTGTGTGCGTGCCCATGATCTAGAGAGGAGAATGGAGAAAAGATTGCAGCATGGCCATACCCCCTGGAGGGGTGATTTCTCACTTTCTGTCTTTCTCTCTGTCTCTGTCTTTCTGGCAAACGCACACACCCTATAGCAAAAACCTCCCCCACCCACCCAAAAAAAACCTTATCTTTTTCTCATAAAAATAAATTATCTGTGCACGTTTGTACCAAAGTTTACAATCCATCCTCTTTTGGGGCCCAGGTTCTTTTCAGGACCTACCTCCTATTTCTCTTCAGCCCTTCATGCAGGCAAACTGATGCTATTTTATCTATTTCTCTAATACTCTAAACTTTCCCACCTCTCAGCCTTTCATTACTCTTTGAACAAACTAAGAGCACAACCCTGCTTGGCAAAGAGGCTTATAGGAGAAGGCCAAAGGACTAGAACGAACCTTCTTGTGAAGGGTCCTGAAGGCTGGATTTAGGAGTCTGAATTTTATCTTGGAAGCAGTAGGAGTAAGTTGGGGAATGATACAATCTATCTTTATCTCAGAAGTGTCACTCTGGCTGTACTGTGAGGAATCTATTAAGAGAACGAGATCAGAGGAAGATAATAAAGCAGAAAGGCGTCAATATGAAGCAGGTGTAATAATCTAGGCACTAAATGATTAGGGCCTTGATTGATTAAGTCAGGAAAAGCAAAAATGGAGAAAACGTGCAAAATCTAACATGAGTCAAACAAATAATCACTTCTGGATTTTTGGTATGAATAGTCAAATGAATGGCAATGCCTTCAAGGAAATTTAAAATATGTACACAGGAATTTTCTACAAAATTATTTATAATCTTTCCAGGTGATGTTACATGGTGTATATATTTGCTATCATTTATGCTTTGCCCATTTCTCTAAAGATTAATTATGTCTCTTTCCTAAATTTTTTTACTTTGCTATAGTACACATGTGCTCATGAGACAGAGACAGAGACAGAGAGAGAGAGAGGGGGCGAGAGTGAAAAATGACTCCCATGGGGGATAGCCATGCCACAATCCCTTCTCCTCCACTCTTTCGGGCGCATGCACGCACACATGCAGCAGAGTGTTTCTTTTAAATGATTTTATTCAACTTTCTTTATCCGCTTAATTTGACAAAAGAGGGACAGAATAAGAAAGTGAGAAAGCAATTGGGCAGCAGGTGGCATGGTGATTTAGGTGGCTTGACTCCCACATGGCTGACTGCGGTTGGAGTCACAGACCTGGCAGCTTGCTTTCTCACTTTCCTCCTGTCTCTATCTGGTTAACTTCCAAATAAATAAATAAATAAAATAATGACCATGAATAAAATTTTAAAAATAATAAAGTGAGAAAGCAAGCCACCAGGTCTAGGATTCAACTCTTAGTGGTACTTGTGGGAGTCGAGGGTCCTTAACCACCAGGCCACCTGCCGGTCCCTGCAACACTGTTTTTCAAGCCACAGGTCCAGTACTGAAACCCGCAGTCAGCCCTATGGGATCCAGCCACTTTAACATTCCCACCACCTGCTGGTCCCAAAGTTAATTATAATATCTCTATAAAGCATTCTTAGCATTGAAAACAAAGCAAAACCCTCAATGTCCCTAGAGCTAAAGAACCTTTCAGTCGTTGCAAAACAGATAGCAAAGTCATCTTTAAGATAAAATTCCAAGATCCGGAACCAGTTATCAACAATCTAAAGTTCTGAAGAAATCTCATCATTCTAATAAGACCTCCCACCCTTACAGTTTCGAAAGGATAGAAAGCAAATGACAAAGAAACATGAAATCTATTTGCGAAGTAAATGACCCTGCAACAAATATTAACAGTAGCTGAGGAAGAGCCTAGTCGTGT